AAATAAACACAACTTGTGTCATGAATATGCCCTGCTGTATGAAGGCATCTTCTAAAAAGCCAGGCACAAGGAATTTTCAGGCAAAGAGACATGGCAAGCAACTATCAAAACCCAGTGCCTTGCTGAATATTGTCAGCTTCTATCTGATTTCCCAAACACCTAGCTTCTTGTTTGCATCACAGGGATGCTGAAGGAAGAAGCCAAATTCTGACACAGTAAGTGTTATCCATGTTAATCTCTTGAACATTGCATTAGGAAACTCCAGCATTCTCTTGGCTTCCATATCTTCTGAGTCTACAAGACCTCACACTGTTTGCTTTTCTTGTTTCATGGCTGAAGTATCTTGGGTAGAAATTTGCCAGATTTAGCAAATAAAATTACAGACTGTAGAGTTAAAATTAAATCTCAGATAAACAATGCTACATTTTGAATTTAAGTGCATGCATTAAAAAATAGTCTGTTGTTTCTCTGAAATTTGAATCTAACTGAGTGTCCCACATTTTATCTGGCAACACTATTTGGGTAATGTCCTATTTCAAGAGAGATGTTGTTACAGAACTGTAATTTCTTAATTAGAAGTGAAAGCACTTAAGCTAACCTAGAAACTAAATGGGTTTCCATTACTAACATATTTCCATGTTTCAGGAGTGCTTGTCCTGGGGAAAACAAAAATGACTATGTTTGATATAACATCAAGTACTTGAAGAGGACAGTGAGCCAAGCATGCAAGCTTCATGTTAAATCCCAGTGGCTAATGTCTTCTTGCCTCTTGCTTCCTTTTCATAACTGACCACGGGAAAGGCACTGGCTGTGTGGATATACAGGAATTTCCTTTTGCAGCACTGGTCATGCTTCTCAGGTAACGGTTCAAGAATGAGCTCAGATTGCTACCTTCCGACCACTTTATACACAGTGGCTATAGAAAGCCATATTCAGAAGGAAGTTGATGCCCTAGCAGGCAGCAGTCCTTAGACACAGAGGCCAACACTTTTAATTAGAATGAGCAAACAGAGAAGGGAATTGGGAGCCTTGAGATCTAGTGGAACAAGTGGGATAATTTACCCAGTTTGTTTTCCTGGAAACCAAGGCTTTATGTCAAGAATTTGTAATAAACCTAACCGAGTCACTTACACTTGGCTCCATAAAATGCTTAATCACATTGTTCAACAATAGCTTTTCTCTTTATGGGGAAATTTACCAGGTTTTTAAAAATCTTCTTTATTTGATTAACATCAGAATCAACAACTGCAGTCTATGTTGGGTTCTGGTAAGCACTGTATAGTATTTGCAAACTTATTAAAGAAGATAGATTTTCTAAGGCCTCAACTGTATCATTATCAAACTTTAATTATCAGCTAATGTTTCTAAAGGTTTTTTATTAAGAAAAAATTAAGTCATAATGTATAGGGAAGGTAAACACTACAGTAAGTAGCCATCATTGCTCCAGGACAAATTTATGTGGCAAATATATTATCAGACCTTTGCTCTGAGTTTTTAATGTTTCTTTCCTCTTACAGCAGTTGATTTTTCTTTATGAATAATAAAAGACCGGATGAGACTCTGTTCCAAATGGCAGTAGCCTGAATCTATTTATAAGAAGTAACCAGCACTCTTGGATGGGTGGAAGCACTTTAGATTCTATCAAGAGTCCCATAAGGAGGATCCTAGTCACAGGTAGTTAGGCAGTGACAGTTTCTGAAAATATTTGATGGACTCTGAAGTTAGTTGAATGCCTGTGTCTGTAAATCCTAACCAACCTCAGCCCCATTGTCACTTGATTTTCTCCCTTAATGCTATCTCCACTCATCTCCTTAAAAAAATTGATTTCTCCTAAAACCTTAATTTTTTCCTGCTTTTATGTATAGAGAGTTTCTAAATAAAAGTGGAACCATAAAGACCTGCTTCAGAGTAAGGAGTAGAGAGAAATAAGGGCATGTTTGGTAAGGTTTTTATCAAGATAATCTTATTGAAATTATATTTTTCCTTTTATTTTCTTCCTGCTGTTCTGATGTTACATTATCCTTGCTGCTATAAAATTGTTACTTTTTTGTTTTACTTTATACTGTTTATGTTATTACTTCAGAAAATAAACTTTTTGACCCACGTTTGTCATCTCACGTTTATATGCTAGTGTGTACATTATTAGATTCAATCATCTATGAAACTGAAAATAGTTGGAAGACATGATGCACACATTTATTATTTCAAGAGAGAGAGAGA